CTCATATAGCAATTATTATATAATCCTGAATTGCATATGACTTTTTTTTTATTTTTTTTATTTTTTTAGATTTGTCATGAATATAATTTAAATCTGTAATTAATTTTGTAAGTTATGCTTCAATCTTTAAGTTAATGCCATGATATAAAAATTTTGATGTAATATCAACTTATATTTTAATAGCATCTCTATTTTCCATAAAAAAAAAAAAAAAAAAAAAGAAAACATTATACGTGTAGCATTACCATACTTTGATAAATGATGGGTCGTCAATTTCATGATACCATGGAAGTAATATCTGTGAATTCCCATAGATTTTTCAGGTTGCCGATTTTTATGGGTCAAAAATGTGGGCTAATCAATTTTTGACTCAATTTGGCAAGCAATTGTTGGGCACCTTGGATCTTTGTACTTTGGTGGTGGTGTTTTCTGCTCAATCATTGCACTTGTTCTGTCAAAAATGCAGTTTTCTTGATATGGTGTTTCCTTTTCATGGTGCATAGATCCTTGATTATCTTGGCATAAGTTGGTACCTATTTAATCATATGCATCAAAGGTAGATTAATCCTAACTTGTTTCAAATGTTTTAAAATCTCACCTTGGTTATCTGAAATCTTTCCAGTTTTAAGAGCTTGAGGGAAAGGAACTCGCATTGGGACCTCCTTCTCGGGTTCTTTCAATGGGTCATCTTTATGGCTACTTAGTGTAATGTCCTTCAGTTGAGGTGATCTTTGCAATGGCTTTATAAACATAACAGTACAAGTAGTAATAGTGTTGACCCCTTTTATGTTTTTCGAATTGGAGGGAGATTCTTGCACCAAATGTAAATTTTTAGGATTAGCTTGAGGTTGAGATGGGATCTTACCTTAGTTAGTTGACTTTTAATATCCTTATTTTCTTCAACCACCTGCGTAAGAATAGAATCAAACCTTTGGTTAGTTTTAGTCTGTGTCTCCATAAATGCCTTAAGTGTTTCCTCTAAAGGATTCATATCTAGTCCTGCATTGTATTGAGGTGTAGGATAAGACCTAACTGGTTGAGCTTCACTATTCCAATTATTGTTGGACGATGTGGGATGATTTCGATTAGTCTTCCAACTAAAATTGGGGTGGTTCCTCCAACTAGGATTGTATGTCTCTGAATAGGATGAAAAAGGTTCCCTAACCATTCCTAATGCATTGCATTGTTCTTCATACGCCCCTCTCATCTCACCATATAGGTTGGGCAATTCTAAGCTAAATGATCCAATCCCCCACAAACAATATATAGAGCCTGAGTTCCTACCTTAGCAACTATGTGGGTGACTGTTATTTTTCATCTTTAAGACCTCAAGTTCCCTAGTTGCAACTTCCGATTGGGCTTTGAGGTTATCTTCCTCCCTAAGGTGGTAAGTTTCAAATGATCGTCACCTACTAGTACTATTAGTGGCACTAAGTCTTGTCCAAGTGTGAGGTTTCTTTGCTAACTCATTTAAATAATCTATGGCTTCCTTTGGGTCCTTATGCAAAAATTCCCCATTACACATCATCTCTATGAATTGATGCTCCCTACTAGTTAAACCCTCATAGAAATAACTAACCAACCTCCAAGTTTCATAACCATGATGTGGACACAAGTTTTGCAA